ACAAACAAATTAATACACTTATCCATGCCTGAGCAAATGATAAGATCAATCATGTTTTCACCAATTATTGATTGAAAAGTCCATTATACAAATTTAGGAGAAATATTCAATATATTATGTATTGATAAACAGGGTCTGCTGGCAACATTTAACTTTCCCATGAGCAAGCTTGTCTGGTGACCAGTAATCTAGGTGTTAGTTATCTACACACAGGTTTTGTTGTTCAAACATTATTGTGCATAGATCAAACCTATCGCTGCCCCACTGCTGTGATCACTGTATCTCACTATTGCGATCACAAGCCTCACTACTGTGCATCGGCGTGAACCAGTCAGTGTTTCACTGATGCTTCAATCGAAATTGATATCAGTATGCTGATATCTGTTTAATCCACACATGTCCTTGAAAAGATTCTGATCTATTGCTTTCTGCGGGAATTTACCAATATTTATTTGACAACCAGAAATAATGTGATAAAAGTGAAGTATGTGAATGGTTAGGTTAATATCCTGTCAGATGAGTGAGTTTAGTTCAGTGCCGCTTTGAGCAATATTCCAGCAATATCACGGTGGGGGGACACCAGAAATGGGCTTCACACATTGTACCCCTGTCGGTAATTGAATCTGGGTCTTTAGTGTGAGAGCAAACACTGACCACTAGGCTATCCAACCGCCCTATCAGAAGAAGTTACCCTTATCCACTTATAAAATGAAACCGCCTCCGTGGTGTAGTGGCTAGAGCGTCCGCCCGGAGAGCGGAAGGTCGCGGGTTCGATCCCCGCCAAAAAACGTTAAAATATGGTACTTGTTGGTCCCTGCCTGGCGCTCAGCATTAATGGGTACAACAAGGACTGGTTGGCTCGGAGTCAGTATAATGTGTCTGAGTGGGGTATTTATGCTTCACTGCGGCATGGTATCTCAGTGGGCTAGCACTATAAAACCAGCTTCAGTCTGGGCTAGTACAAGCAGCCGCACATACACATACACACGCATGCACGTCGTCATATGAGCGAAATATTCTCAAGCACGACGTAAAACCCAGTTTCACCTCACTTCACTTATAAAATGAGGATGCATTGTTCTTGTGACACGTTTGGAGATCTTTATCTAATGTTTAATATATAGTGAATATCAAGTTTATCAATTATTAATGGAGCACGATCTCGGTGGATAGCTTAGTGGTTAATGTGTTCACTCGTGATGCCAAAGACCCATGTTTGATTCCCCATGAGGGAACAATGTGTGAAGCCCATTTCTTGTGTCCCCCACTGCAGTATTGTTGGAATTACTAAAAGTGGTATGAAAGATGACTCACTCATTATTCATGAATATTTTGGGGACATGTTTATGATTTTGTATGCTCAATCTTCATGGGGCGGTAGGGTATCCAAATGGTTAAAGCGTCCATTCATAAAGCTGAAGGTCCGGGTTTGATTCCCCACAAGGGTAAAATGTGTGAAGCCCATTTCTGGTGTCCCCTGCACTGTAATATTTCTTGAATATTCTAAAAGTAGTGTAACATGAATACAGGGTGGTGGGTAGTATCCTAATGTTTGTCCACTTTGTCATAAAATGAAGACCTTTCGGGTTTGATTCCCTTGGACAAAGGGTAAAATGTGTGAAGGACATTTCTGGTGTCCCCTGCCATGATATTGCTGGAATTACTAAAAACGGTGTAAGATATTAATCATGAATACAGGGTGGTGGGGTAGCCTAGTGGTTTAAGCGTCCACTTGTCATACTGAAGACCTGGGTTTGATTCCCCACAAGGGTAAAATGTGTGAAGGACATTTCTGGTGTCCCCTGCCATGATATTGCTGGAATTACTAAAAACGGTGTAAGATATTAATCATGAATACAGGGTGGTGGGGTAGCCTAGTGGTTAAAGCGTCCACTTGTCATACTGAAGACCCGGTTTGATTCCCCACAAGGGTAAAATGTGTGAAGGACATTTCTGGTGTCCCCTGCCATGATATTGCTGGAATTACTAAAAACGGTGTAAGATATTAATCATGAATACAGGGTGGTGGGGTAGCCTAGTGGTTAAAGCGTCCACTTGTCATACTGAAGACCCGGGTTTGATTCCCCACAAAGGGTAAAATGTGTGAAGGACATTTCTGGTGTCCCCTGCCATGATATTGCTGGAATTACTAAAACGGTGTAAGATATTAATCATGAATACAGGGTGGTGGGGTAGCCTAGTGGTTAAAGCGTCCACTTGTCATACTGAAGACCCGGGTTTGATTCCCCACAAGGGTAAAATGTGTGAAGGACATTGTCACATTTCTGGTGTCCCCTGCCATGATATTGCTGGAATTACTAAAAGCGGTGTAAGATATTAATCATGAATACAGGGTGGTGGGGTAGCCTAGTGGTTAAAGCGTCCACTTGTCATACTGAAGACCCGGGTTTGATTCCCCACAAGGGTAAAATGTGTGAAGGACATTTCTGGTGTCCCCTGCCATGATATTGCTGGAATTACTAAAACAGTGTAAGATATTAATCATGAATACAGGGTGGTGGGGTAGCCTAGTGGTTAAAGCGTCCACTTGTCATACTGAAGACCCGGGTTTGATTCCCCACAAGGGTAAAATGTGTGAAGGACATTTCTGGTGTCCCCTGCCATGATATTGCTGGAATTACTAAAAACAGTGTAAGATATTAATCATGAATACAGGGTGGTGGGGTAGCCTAGTGGTTAAAGCGTCCACTTGTCATACTGAAGACCCGGGTTTGATTCCCCACAAGGGTAAAATGTGTGAAGGACATTTCTGGTGTCCCCTGCCATGATATTGCTGGAATTACTAAAAACGGTGTAAGATATTAATCATGAATACAGGGTGGTGGGGTAGCCTAGTGGTTAAAGCGTCCACTTGTCATACTGAAGACCCGGGTTTGATTCCCCACAAGGGTAAAATGTGTGAAGGACATTTCTGGTGTCCCCCCTGCCATGATATTGCTGGAATTACTAAAAGCGGTGTAAGATATTAATCATGAATACAGGGTGGTGGGGTAGCCTAGTGGTTAAAGCGTCCACTTGTCATACTGAAGACCCGGGTTTGATTCCCCACAAGGGTAAAATGTGTTGAAGGACATTTCTGGTGTCCCCTGCCATGATATTGCTGGAATTACTAAAAACGGTGTAAGATATTAATCATGAATACAGGGTGGTGGGGTAGCCTAGTGGTTAAAGCGTCCACTTGTCATACTGAAGACCCGGGTTTGATTCCCACAAGGGTTGTGAAGGACATTTCCCCCTGCCACAATTACTAAAAAACAGTGTAAGATATTAATCATGAATACAGGGTGGTAAAAAGCGCCCACTGTTTGAAGACCCGATTCATTTCTGGTGTCCCCTGCCATGATATTGCTGGAATTACTAAAAACGGTGTAAGATATTAATCATGAATACAGGGTGGTGGGGTAGCCTAGTGGTTAAAGCATCCACTTGTCATACTGAAGACCTGGGTTTGATTCCCCACAAGGGTAAAATGTTTGAAGGACATTTCTGGTGTCCCCTGCCATGATATTGCTGGAATTACTAAAAACGGTGTAAAACATTAATCATGACTATTTTGGTGACATGTTTATGATATTGTTTGCTCAGTTTTCTCTGGGCGATGGGGTATCCTGATGGTTAAAGCGTCGCTCATCACACTGAAGACTCATACGCGATTCCCCACAAGGGTGCATTGTGCAGTATACTTTCCATGAGATCCTTAGTGAAAAAACAACACGCATGATTTAGAGCATAAGTGAGTCGTTTTCTTCACTTGATGTTTTACATTGGGAACCTTGACACTTTTTACGACTTTAATTACAGAATAACAGACACGTATTCTTTCAGTTCTTTGTTTTTGATGGTCTCAATATACAAGGACAAACATTTGTGTTACAGAAATAGAAAAATTCTTTGTAAGGATTAGCCTTATTTGTGTGCATTTCTTCACAAGAAACAAATGAAGGGTTATTGTGTGTATGTGTAATTGTTGTCCGTGATGTCATGTTTGGTGCCAAGGATGGATTAGGTACCTACACGAGTAGCTCTTATTTCAGCCTCATTGAAACCGAACAATGTAAATGAAATTAAAGAAGGTGGACATTCAATAGACTTTGCGATAAGTCAATCTTTTATGTGTTTAGGTTCAAACTTAACATTTCTGAAATGTTTCACTTTGAAACAACAAGTATGTTGGACACAGACTTCAACTGTATGTTGAAACTCCTGTTGTTTTAAGTTTGGGACAAGTAGACTGCACATATTTGACCACAGTGATTAGAAGTGGATTCAGAATTTTGACAAAGGGGTACACAAAAATACCATGTTGTGAAATGACTTACGAGAACTTGAAGGGTGTCTATAAACGCCAACCAGGGTATTGGAGGGTGTGCGCTCACACACACGCACACACACACACCTATTGATCCTCTAGTTGTAATTGTAACATATATGACTGGCACATCCTCGGTAGTCAAGTTGGGAGCCTTTATTCAAGGGAGATAACTTTAATGCAAACATGCCATGAACAAGATATACTCATGGAAACAAGTGTTCCTTTATTCTTTTCCAGATTTCTTTACAAGGTGTGTATTTTGCACTGTGGGTGAAAGTCTGGAAATAAATAAAGGAACACTTGTACTTTCATGTGTTCCCTTATTTGTTTCCATGAGTATATATGGCAGATGTTGTAATAACCAATGAAGATCTGGGTTAGAATTGGTCTTCAGCAACCCAAGATTGTTGTAAGAGGCGACTAACCGGATTGGTTGGTCAGACTTGCTGACTTGGTTGACACATGCCATCGTATCCCACTTGCGTAGATGGATGCTCATGCTGTTGATCACTGGATTGTCTGGTTGACTCGATTGAGGAGATTTCACTGTATAGAGACTGGTTTCATTACCATGTTGTAACAGTGTTATATGAATATGTTCATTCAAGTCAATATTTTCCTTATGGTCAACAAAACTAGGGCTTGACATAACAACATGAAATACATGTATTAATAAAATGTTTTATTCTCAATAAAACAATGGAATTCATATAAAATATATATGACAAGTCATTTTGCACAAGATAGATGTCATAAACATCTGCACCACTGTTTGCAGGCATGGAGGATTTCTTTGTATATGAAGATATTTAGATATATATCTGTATGTAAATGAAGATATGTTAATGTAATATATATGATAATGTAAATATAAATCTTTTATGTACATTTGTACATAATTTATGTAAAATACAGTGAATACTATCAAATTGTTTTTGTGACTTTCCCAGATTTTCCCTGAAATTATGAGCCTCATAATATATGACCTATGACATCATCTGACATGATACTGACCTGCATGGCCAATAGTCCGTTGGATGTGTAAACTATCTAATTAGGAACAGAGTGCCCTATATTTTCTGAGAATGAAAGGTGTATATCCAGGCATTAACAACAGGCTTTGTACATGATGAAACAGTTTCATGTTAAATAGCATAATTTGGTTGAACAGATAATTATTGTGATGAATAAAAGTATCACATGAGGACTGGAGGGTAGCCTAACGGGTAAAGTGTTCACTCGTCACACCGAAGGTCCGGGTTTGACTTCCCAGATGGGTACAATGTGTGAAGGCCATTTCTGGTGTACCCTGATGTGATACTGCTGGAATATTGCTACAAGCGGCATAAAACCATAGTCACTCACTACAATTTTAAGAGTTTGGTTGCAATTGTTAGACTGACTGACTGACTGACTGAGTTTGGTTTTACGCCGCTTTTAGCAATATTCCAGCAACGTCACGGCGGGGGACACCAGAAATGGGCTTAACACATTGTGCCCATGTGGGGATTCGAACCCGGGTCTTCGGCGTGACGAGCCAACGCTTTAACCATTAGGCTACCCCACCGCCCCTGCAATTGTTAGAAAAGTTTGAGCCGCAATGTCCAACATTTCAACTTTATCAGACTCTAAATAATCAGATAAGTGCAGGACAAACTAGTGGTTGAAAGCATGAGCAACAATCCAGCACGGTATGATGACATCACAATGTGACAGGGTTGACTGTAAAATGAGTACCACTAGTGAATATTTTACAAGATTCTATGAGTTGAACGAATCTAAAATACTTCTGTTAACCACAGTATTGACACCTTTAACAAATCTATCATGAGTCCAACAGTCATGATTTTGTTTCATGAAATATTTATGTGTGAATAAGATTGTCGGACAAGAGTGTGTGGTTTTCAATGTGTGAACATGGTCAGTTATGATGTGTGATAAGACATACAGAATGACCAACCCACTTGCATGGTGTTCACAAGATGGTGTCTGAAAACGTATCTAGATTCTATAATAATAATGATGTTAGGGGTTTTAGAACTGGCACTGCAGATTGGGAACTTGAAGATATGTCAAAGAGAAATGATGATTGTGTAAAAGATACCTGACGAGAAATAGTATCAAAACCTCAGCAGTAGTAGCTTTTCTGTTACTGTGATGGTTTGTGATAATGAATCATATTTAATATTTTCAATACGTATTGCATTATTATTTACAGGTGAATAATTTTGATGAATATTTACAGTGTGTATTATGTTGAAATATAATGTGAGCAAATCATCATATTTCTAATGTACAGCAGTGAAGAGCAATGCTGGAAAAGGCATGCTGAGTGCATTTCAGGCCTACAAACGATTCACCAGGTAACAAAGGGATGTCACATGTAGATAAGAATGCTAGGGAAGCTTAGCCAGGATCAATCTAATCCCACTCTGACTTGACAAAAGTTTTCCAACTGGGGCAGGGGGTAGAAGCATTCTGTATTTTCACTTCATATGGGGCAGTTGGGTAGCCTAGTGGGTAAATCATTGGTTAATCATGCTGGGTTCAGTTCCAATATGGGTTCCATGGATGTATTTTTGGTGCCTGCTAATATTATGACAGGAATATTTCTACAGCCGGTAGCACAAAAACAAACACCAAATATCTTGGTTCAATTCCCATGGGTACAGTGTGTGAAGCCCATTTCTGATGTCCTGCCATGCTATTGCTGGAATATTGCTAAAAGCAGCATAAAACCAAACTTACTCACTCACTCACTCAGTTCCAGGATAGAAAGTGTTTGTAAATGGTGTCACCTGCCATGATATAACTGGGTTTCTTGACATGATGTATTACTAATATGTCTATAGTGATTAGGATCAAATGCTCTTTTGAAAAGATTTTCAGTAATACTTTGTGTCAGGGATCATACACGCCTTTGCATCCTGACAAGTCTTAAGGGAGGCAACCCTGCACAGTGACATGCAGTGCCATAGGCCACTAGGCCACATGCTATCATTGTTAAGATTGAAAAGTTTAGAAAGAAGGAGTTAAATAATTTTGAAATCTTTTTATGATGTCATCAAGGTATATCCACAAATACAATTGAGCAAATTGTTTCATGATGTCAAGTCTTTAAAATATGAAACTTTAAAATGGAAACTTGAGGTACTCAAGAAATGTGAAGGTCATGTATCCTCTTACATCATATCATGTCACAGATATATCAAAACTCAAATATAAATTTATATTTTGTATGAACAAGAACCTACTTGATGCAAGATACCAAATGGTTGTATAATATCACAAACATGTGAAAGACAAAAACATATACAAGAGAATAAAAAATGGTGAGATGTTTGAAACAAAATTCATTCCATTTCTTGAATCTGTACATAAATTCAATCAAACACTTGGTGCTCTACACATACGTTGGGTATCAAATTGCTTTCCCAGACACTGAGATCAAATAACAATGCTTTGCACTTTTAGAGGTGGAACATTCTGTGATGATATTATGTCATGTGGGATGATTCTGAATTTGATCTATTTTAATCATGAGCATAAAAATATTAATTTAATATATATTATGCTCCCATTGAGAAATAAAGGTTTCATTTAAGCAGTTTGGCAAGCAATGAATAGGTAAAAGTAAACTGGATACTATATCTCTGTCGTAACAACATACCTTGTAAAGAAATATATTACAGGTGTTGATTTTCCTTGCTGATTTGTTTATATTTTTCCACCTGAATAAGCCTCTGATTCAAGAAATAAGAATTGATAGCATGAGAGAAAATGTCATGAAGCTGCTTTGTGTAAACTATACAGTTTTGTCTATATACATAAACGATAATGTGTGGATTTCTTTAGTAATACTTCTATTGTATATATGTGAACTATAGAGTATGTGTAAATAGTCTTCTATGAGTATGGTCAAAGAATGAGGAATTCTGTTAATACCTTTGACGCAAAGAATGGTATGCATGGCAGGGTTGCAAAGAATAGCAGGGTATCATTTAAGAAGGAAGGTGAGGGTTCCTTGGTAAACTCCTGATGACTGTAAGTGGGTATATCATATAAATGTACTCATCAAGATTTTCTTAAACGTGACAAGGTATGATAGATTTAATAAGTGATGTCACTATAAACAAATAGGTAGTAAACATTCTAAGCAAAGCTGAAAAGGCTCTTTCTGTTATTTCACTACCACGGTCATTAATTTGAAATGCTTATTAATCTTTAAAAAATGTCAACTGATTGGTACTAATTAAAGTGAAAATAGCTGACTCTAAAAGTTTGACTGTGAAATGTTCAGTTGATATTTCCTCACATCATGAGACAGACAGAGGAAGCAAGCCCTATAACGTTTTGTGACGAAACAAACCTGTAATTGAGAATTGCTTTTGGTCTTTTTATCCTGAGTTGAGTCATTTTGTGCGCTAGACCAAAAGTGCTCTATCAAAATTTTTAATACAGGATATGATTTTAAAATTTATTTTATATGGTAATATGAAGTAAGGTGTGTTTGATTCTATCCAGATAAATGTATGATCATGTTTGTTATCCAACCATGCGTAAACGTCTAAGGAATCTTATGAGCCAGAAGGAAGCAGTAGTATGTATGAGGAATATCTGAGGCCAATAGTCATGGTAACATGAGCATTTGTAGGTAGGTTATACTTTCATAAACCTAGTACCCTTGTTTCTACTACCAAACAGAAAATAAACTTCCACTAACTACAACAGGATATTACACATCCAATCTGTAAATGTGACATTTGTTATGGTGGAAACCTTGTGGCAATATAGATCAATCTAATTCTTTACCAAGTAAAGTGAAGCCAATAATGACAAGCTTTATGGATGAATAACTTCTTCATTTAGTGTCCAGCAATGATACAAGAATCTGTATCAAAAAGTCGCATCACCTAATAAAGAAGTTGTTCATCCATAGAGTTTGTCTTTATCTGACGCTCCAACTTCTAAAATTGCCACTCCAAGAAGTTATCCGCTGTCTAAAGTGAAACCTTTTTAAACAATGTGTTCATTCTTGATATCATACTGTTTTGAAGGATTCATCTAGGATGTTAACATATGTCTTATATGTTTCTATATAAAACATCAATGTGAGAAGTAATTATTCTTGGTAATCTTCTGAAAAAGGTATCAAAGGACAATAGCGGTGAAGATCTATATACGAATGGATGTCTGAAAATCAGTAGATCTGAAACTAATGGAGTTTTCTGATGTTGACTCATGAGGTGTCACAATGCATTTGCTAACAAAGGATATTATATTCTGCACATGATTTCAGAAATCACCTAAACCAAAGTATTAGTACCTTTTCAATGAATGAGGAAAAATGATTTTACATTGTGCGAAATTCGAAAGATTTGGAAGCAAGATTTGAGCAAGAAACAGGAACTGAATCATGCATGTGAAAGATCTTTAGGCATTTCCTTCTTTATGCAATCACACAAAGTGTCAAGGTAGGCAAGAATCTGTGAACAAGTTGCACCTTAGTTCTACTGCGGTATCTCTGATCTTGCTTCCCATTTGTGCAAACAACATTCAATGCAAACAAAATGAAGTTATGTATGGAAGTGATCTGTAGGCATTTCTTTGTTTCAACATTCACCCAAACTACAAAGTAACCAAGTATTTGTGAACAAGTTACACCTTTGGTTCTTTCATTCAACTGATCTTGCGTCGTCTTACCCACTTCTTCAAGTGCAACAGCCTTATGTATCAGCTGTCTAGGCATTTCTTTACCCCGAGTAGCACACATCCGCTCTTGCATAGCAGACAGATTGTCAGTCAGCAACTGTGTGTCCGTACAGAATATTTTACACACTGTCATATAAGGCATCTTTGCATCAGAGAGCTGTGTAGGTTGGCTCTGGCAGTGCCAAGTCTTTGAACAGTGGATCTGAGAGTGAGAAGTCCTTGTCTAGAAGTTCTACAGTTGACTGGAGGAAGGCTGGATCCAGGGAAAGTCCTGTGGTTTGATGGAGAGCTTCCTGAGGGAGGCTGAGAGGTTCGTTCATGATGGAGGTCTGGGTGCTGATTGACCGGAGTGAGCCTAACACCACTGTGAAATATTAACAGCATTTTAGACCAAGCGCCCATTGGGAACATAATAGAATTAAAGACAAAATCACTGGTTTTATAGTTATTCAACAGTATTAAAACGTTTTACAAAAGGAAAGTAAGAGGTTTTCTATGACCCACTTGCAATTTCAAATTGAAAGACATATCTACACTTTCCTTTGTTGCATTTGAAAGAATATGAATTTTAAGTTGACTTACATTGAGAACAAAATGAACAAAAATGGAGAATCTTTCTAACTTCAACAAAATCATATATCTATGCACAGCAACTTCGACGATTTGCTTACCATATGCCTTTTACTATCTATATTTATGTCACCAGAGAAAGACGGTTTGCCACAAAGTGTTATTTTCGTTCAAATATGTCAAAAATATTTCTGGATGAAATCGGCCCTTCTACACATTTAACAGTTTGCGAACAGGCGGTGTTGTAAGGTAAAAACATTACATGTATGGAACGACTGCCCTAACGAGTTTTATAAGTTTTACATATTTCGAAAATCACAATATGCCATGTTGGCCCAAGTGGAACCTTATTATATTTTATAATTTCTATGTCAGTTTCTTATCTATGTAAACAGTGAATACATCGTAACATGTGTTCTACATCTTATTGTTTTGTGGAATATTAGCGAGTTCTTGAAAGGCATTTAGAAGTTGGACGAACGTTTGGATAACAACTTCTTTTAATTCTTTATACCATGTTTCAGAGCTAATTCTTGTTCCTTCACCTGATGAAGGAGCAAGAATTAGCTCATTCACCTGATGAAGCATCAAGAGTTAGCTCATTCACCTGATGAAGCATCAAGAGTTAGCTCATTCACCTGATGAAGCATCAAGAGTTAGCTCATTCACCTGATGAAGCATCAAGAGTTAGCTCATTCACCTGATGAAGGAGCAAGAGTTAGCTCATTCACCTGATGAAGCATCAAGAGTTAGCTCATTCACCTGATGAAGCATCAAGAGTTAGCTCATTCACCTGATGAAGCATCAAGAGTTAGCTCATTCACCTGATGAAGCATCAAGAGTTAGCTCATTCACCTGATGAAGCATCAAGAGTTAGCTCATTCACCTGATGAAGCATCAAGAGTTAGCTCATTCACCTGATGAAGCATCAAGAGTTAGCTCATTCACCTGATGAAGCATCAAGAGTTAGCTCATTCACCTCATTCACCTGATGAAGCATCAAGAGTTAGCTCATTCACCTGATGAAGCTGATGAAGCTCATTCACCTGATGAAGCAAAGAGTTAGCTCATTCACCTGATGAAGCATCAAGAGTTAGCTCATTCACCTGATGAAGCATCAAGAGTTAGCTCATTCACCTGATGAAGCATCATTCACCTGATGAAGCATCAAGAGTTAGCTCATTCACCTGATGAAGCATCAAGAGTTAGCTCATTCACCTGATGAAGCATCAAGAGTTAGCTCATTCACCTGATGAAGCATCAAGAGTTAGCTCATTCACCTGATGAAGCATCAAGAGTTAGCTCATTCACCTGATGAAGGAGCAAGAGTTAGCTCATTCACCTGATGAAGCATCAAGAGTTAGCTCATTCACCTGATGAAGCATCAAGAGTTAGCTCATTCACCTGATGAAGCATCAAGAGTTAGCTCATTCACCTGATGAAGGAGCAAGAATTAGCTTGTCCTATAAAGAATAAAGAAGGAATATTATCCACTCAATTATTTATATTCGTCAAATTGGCATTATACGAATTCTGAAACTCCACTTTTGCAGAAGTTCTGCATGTAGTTTAATTGATTTGCGAGATGGATAAGGAAAACCTCATAGAATGGTTATTTCATTTAAAATGTGTGACGAACATGCAACTAAGGAAGACAATCTTTTTCAGAATAATGAATGTTTGTACGCCAGTATCAGCCATTGTCTCAGCTGCATAACGGAATCCTGCCAAGTATAATGTCTTGGTCTGGAAAACCAAGTTTGGGGACAATGACATAGCTAGTTTATTACCACCCGGCACCATTCAAACAATGACTGAGTGATATTTGGTAGATATTTTGGCAATATGTCCAGCAATGTAATGACGTGGAAGACCAGAAATAATCGGAACATAGCAGTCATGAAGCCAATCCAGACCTTAGGCGTAACACGTGAACGCTCTATCCAGTAAATTATTTGATTCAACTTCTGATGAACAAGGAACGCATGTACTGACCTGATCTAAGATTAGCTAGAGACAAGTTGGAGGCGGCCCAATCCATAACTGAGCGAAGAAAACCTTCCGTGGTTGTTGTTGAGACAAGACGGTTGTAGGATTCGAAGAGGGGGCGGCTTATGAAGCTGAACTGAGGGAGTTCAGGAAAGTATATTTTGTCAGTTCGGCAGTCTATAGTCATTTGTATAGTCGGCAGGTCATTTGTTAAAGATACAACCAACGCTTCCTGACAGCTACATTCATTTAGGACAGACTCTTTCTGAGGGGTCGCCCGTGATGTTTTCCCATTATCTGAATACACTTGAATAGGGCAATGTTACAATCATAACAAATCTTAAGCAGGGTATTCAAACAACCTTGTTCTGTTATCTAGGTATGGTTTCTACAAAGTGAGACATTAAAATACATACACCCATCAGAATGTACTTTCAAAGACACGCCTTCTGAATATATTTTCAGAGAGCTGCCTTAGAACTATCACATTTATAGCTTGGATGTGTAAACATGCTAAATTACGTTTACCGTTTAACTGTTTAGAAAAGGATGTGTTCTCATCCTCTTTGACAACCTGAAAAAGTATCGGTTTTCACCTGGTCGTTGTCGTATTTACATTACGAGACGATGGAGACAAACCGCACAGCTGCAGGTCGTGTGTTGGCCGTATCTGCTTACACATTTACAACACCCATCACATTCAGTAATAAACTCCCTCGTAAAATCCCCATATCAAATCGCTTTTATTCTGTTGAGGGTAAGCCTTGAAATACTAGTCACAAATACCTTTCCCCAAACCAACCCTGTTAAATACCATCGTGCTTACAGTTGGGGTTAATAAAAAACACACACCGTAGCTGACTACTATTGGGCTTGCGCTGGCTGTCACGGTTCGGGGTGTAAATCTAACGCTGATCTACTGGGGAAATGTGAAGAATGAAAGGATACAATCCAGAACTTCCAGCTGTCTCGGGTTCGACTCTGGATGTATTCACTAAGTCGCTCTTCCATGTTCACTTGAGGTGGCTCGAACAGGTTCCCGTCAGGCATAAAGGCTTGATATGCTCTGCAGCAGCAAATATACGCAAATATACATTGAGGTGAACGCCTATGTCATGGTGTATCAGTTTTGTGTGGGAGTAACGCTCAGATTAAGGTAGGGCGTGGATGTTTAGGAATGTCATTCAGGAATGTCATGTGTACGGTATCGTACGGACAAACTAAGGATCATAATTGGGGCGAATCTTGGATTCGATTGGTTGGTTTGTTTCACGCTGCACTCAGCAATATTCCAGCTATATGGCGTCAGTCTGTAAATAATCGAGTCTGGACCAGGCAATCCAGGGATCAACATCATGAGCATCCTTCAACGCAATTGTTTTACGATGGCATGTGTCAAACAAGTACGCGAGTCTGACCCCGCGATCCCGTTAGTCGCCTCTATCAAGAATGGGTTGCTGAACACCAATTCTAACCCGGATCTTCACAGGTCTCTTGATTCGAACCCACTCGTAGTTACTAACACTGGATATATCTGTATAGACCGATGTTAAGGTGTTGTTATTCACAGGAGGACAACAGAAATTGGCAACACACATTGTACCCACGTGGGCAATCGAACCCGGACGGGCGAGAGCTTTAACGAGGACGCTACCCCACCGGGTATGTAAATAATTGTATCTGGACCAGCAAACAAGAGAGATTATGTCCAATGTCTACGTCGCCGGGTTCGTTGCCCACAATAATCCAAAGTACCGAGCCTGATCATTGTCTCAAGAATGACAAAGCAATAGGGTAAGAGTTCCTCCCGTTCCCCCATCCCGAATAGTGTTTATAAATTAACATATACTAAAATTATTAACAAAACATAAGAGAACAATTACTAGAGAACTCACAAAAATGACTAAAAGTCCAAACTTTAAGTTAGGGTTAGGTTTAGGGTTGGGGGAACGGAAGGAACTCTTTCCAGCAACAGAAACAATATTATTTGTAGCTCTCCTGCAATTGTTTAAAAATTTTATTGGATCCGAACTTCCATGTAATGTAAATGAAGAATGGAAAAATATAAGGTTTCAAACAAGAGACATTCTCACATGATATTCAATATATTACACGTGGATACATGCCTAAATAGTGAAAATTGCACGAAGTAATAGAATCCCTGTTTGGAACTCGGCGAGCACACCAAAACTGGAGTCACCAAAGCATACAAAGCATACAGAGATTACGCTTCATGGGTCGTGTGGTTTCGGGAGGGATGTTGAAAATGTACATATTACATTACAGACGACGTAAGATTCGCCACGACCTAAGTTCGATGTTGAACAGACGACGTAAGATTCGCCACGGCAGGCGTTCACTTGGTTTTCAGTCTGGTGAGATAGAACGACCCATACAGACTCCGCTGCTTGGTAACACTGAGTCTATGTTCAGTACACCATGATTTAGCCCAAGGAATACTTACTCAATCTCAGCATTGAGGATATCCATTTCCTGCCGCAGAGCTGTGATCATCGTCTTCTGCTCCTCGCATTCGGCCTTCACCTTCCGGCTGTGCTCGGCAGCTGCAGACGACATCATATATAGATAGAACTTAAACTTAATGCTGTAAATACAGTTATGTGTAAATTACACACTTCAAAGTCGACCAAACACACGGCACAAGGTAGTATGGTAATTATTCCACTGCAAAAGGTGGGGTAAAACGGGAATTAAGAGAAGTTCAAGATTGTTGCCCTTATTTAGTGTCGTGAGTTTCGTGGCTCTTTGTACCAGTCCAAACTATTGGTGGTTTTATAGTTCTAGACCACTGAGATACCATGCCCTAGCTTAAGATCAATACCTTAGACATACACAGCATACTATTTCCTTGTTTTATTCCCCAAATATCGAGTGCCAGGCAAAGCAACAAGCAGCATCTTTTAACGTCTTCTGGTATGACATATGGGAGTCGACCCACAGACCTTCCCCTTACTCTATCCACTAGACCACGGAGGCCTTCTTTACAGGCGTATTGGTGAACAACGGTATGGTTTTACCTTTGAACAGAATATCGGACTTGCTGTCTCTTCCCACCGACGTTTCGCCATTCTTGGGGACAATGTTCTTTAACGTCTGGAAACCATTCTGTTAACAAAATTACAACTGTCATTTCTCTATTTCGAACTGTCTCAAACTAACTTATGGGGTACCGTTTTGGTCTTAACTATACTGAGCGGGACATGTTGTTTTAAGCCGCAATTACAAAACTACTGCAGCTATATCACAACAACATTTAAATAATTCGGCAAAGCAAACCAGTGGTTGACAGTATGACCAACGATCCAAGCGTGAGCTCATTGGGCGATCTGGGTACGACAGCGTACAACATCCAGTTCTCACCTGTATCTTTCCCCTTCGCCGGTGCTCGGCGTTGATGTGTGACTCCCTCTTGTGACGAGGGATGGGGTTCCGGGGACGTCCACATTTCCTCTTCACCTTCACCTGAGCGGCATCGCCAACGGGCCCCTTGGAAGGGGGACACACTACAGAGGGTGGAATTGGACCCTGAAAAAAAAATATATACGTTATATTTGATTTCCTGAAATGTGAGACCACATAGCTCAATGGACATTAAAATACCAAAGAATCACATAGAAGAATCTCCCTTATTCCTCATTTTGGGACAATAAAGCCGTAATAATGCAGGCATATTCCTGAAAGCAGTGTAAAGCCATTTACCAGTCACCATAGTGAGTATAAGAGTACATCTTGTATGGTGTAGTGTCATGTCCTATCGCATCCTAAGGGCCGTAATATTGCAGGAATATTCCTGAAAGCTGCGTAAAGCCATTTACCAGTCAACATAGTGAGTACATCATGTATGGTATAGTATCATGTCCTATCGCATAACTAGGCTGTTCCCACACATTATATAGATATCAGAAAATATATAACGTTTGTACCAGTTCTTCTTATTTCCTGGAAACAAGTGAGCGCTTGAACTAACCCGGCCTTGTAAATCAGACCACTGGTTAAGTTAACCTTCGTAAATGTCAGCCAGGACTATTTTCCCATATTCTCTTATCTAACTTAAGACAATTTTTTGCCAATATTTCAAAATCTCCTCGAAGCTCTTGACATCGGTTGGGATTTGTATGACAAGCTACGTTACAGGACAAAGCGAAGCGGTCTTCCCAACAACCGACAATGAATAATTGGCTTGAAGAGATCCCCAGGACCAGTAACTGGCTTACTGTACAGGTTACACTTCAAATTCGATCACTCAGTACGCTTACTCGTGTTTATAAATGTCCTCGTTACAAGTGGTCTGTCGAATCTGTAGTGTCCAACAGTAAATGTGCACTTACTTGAGCACGTGACCCCTGAGTGTAATAACCCTTCAGAAACATGGATAAAACTGCTCGTTGAGCAATCATTTATTAAATGATCATTTTCTAAGCAAACTGGACTGTGGAACATATTTATACATTTCATACACACAGATATTTAGTCTAATTTGATAGGGTATATGTAATGCTACCAAGGACGACTTTTCAATTTTCGTCAGGAATGGAAGGTCGTTCAGTTCAAGGGTCGTTCAGTTTTATGGGGGTCAACGATCGGAGCCAGTGCTATCTTAAGCTCTTCGGTACCTTACCTTGAAGATATTATCCGATCTTAACTTGTCAAGCATAGGTATGATGAAAAACAGCCTCAGAAGGCATTATTGCTATCCACATTGGTTCTCATTTGTGTATTCGCTAGACACTTTGAACACAACATATATGTCAATTGTTCAGCTGTTACCCGTTCAAACATGAGAGACCCGTGAAGATCCAGTTTAGAATTGGTCTTCAGTAACCCATGCTTGTCGTAAGAGGCGACTACTTGGGATCGGGTGGTCAAGCTCGCTGACTTGGTTGACACATGTCATCGTATCCCATTTGCGTAGATCGATGATCATGCTGCTAATCACTGGATTGTCTGGACCAGACTCGATTATTTACAGACTGCCGCTATATAGCTGGAATATTGCCGAGTGTAGCGTTAATCAACAAACCAAGCGAATCAAACATGAGTCAAATCTTGATTCAAGAATAAAATGCAAAAGAATCAAGTTGTTACAATGCGTGATTTTGCTAATTGCTGCTCATGTAATCGACCCCTTGTTTGCTTTACCATGATACACTCACCGTAGAACAAGACGTGACAATGGTTGTTTCTGGCTTGTTGATTTACGAACTAATCATAACTCAAGTAAGCTATAGCTATCATACACGTTATTAATAGAGTCAGTGTTCAAATATTTCATTTTACAAAATTAAAACGGAACGAAATTTGTTCACAATACATTTTTCCATTAGACATTTTTTGTATCTTTTTATAGATGGAAAGTTACTGGGGGATCCTTATGGTAATGACCCAAGGTAAACCTCTGTCAACAAACGCGATACCATCAGTAGCGAGAGTCTACGGATCTCTTTAAAATACCCCAGGTTTAAAGCCCGCTGGTGTAGATTATATAACCTTTGTACACCCTTTGATATACGGCCACAGCCTCCCGCTTGTGAATGGTAAAGGTGGGAGATCGGTTACCGGTTGTTGAGTATCAGTTTCGCATCATTTTGTGACTGTATAGTAGGCTGGGTAAAGATTAGCCATAAAGTTGAAGATTTGATTTGATTGTTACGAGTGTGGTTTTAAATCTTTTAAGGTAAAAACATTGTATTGAAACTTTGTTGTTATATGTATCAAACTTCGAATAAATGACATACTTATATTACATTACATAATTTTTAACTTCGCAATATAACACAGCGAGATTTGCAGTAGTAAGAACACGTCATAAACTTTATATTATTCTATATGATCTTTCTGCATCAGATGACCTTGTAAATGTGTGCCTGAACAAGACATTATATTCCAAACTGCAAAATGTGGTAAGAGTGCTTCTTCCAGCAATATTACGACGGGGGACACCAGAAATGGGCTTCGCATAAGACACCCATGTGCAATCGAACCCGGGTCTCCGACGCTTTAACCACTTGGCTACCCCGAGAGCTTCTGTAAGCCGAATAGACGAATAAAAGCAAGAGAGCCCACTTACCAATAGTATCTAGATTTGATAGTGGACCCCTTTGCTCGTTCAGATAACCATTGTATCAAATACTATGACCACACTTGTTGCGTAAAACAACATTAATTTTATCACTAGTACAATGGAACAAGACATATTGGAAATTAACTCTAAGGGAACGTTTTGGGTATACAAGTTACACATGTAGGTCAGGTTATTGTTAAACTTATTAAGACATTGTCTGATTGAAAAAAGACCCGTGGAGATCCAGGGTAGAATGGGTCTTTAGCAACCCATGCTTGCTACAAAAGGCGACTATGCTTAGGCGACTAACGGGATCGGGTGGTCAGACTCGCTGACTTGGTTGACACATGTCATCGGTTCCCAATTGCGCAGATCGATGCTCCTGCTGTTGATCACTGGATTGTCTGGTCCAGACTCGATTATTTACAGACCGCCGCCATATAGCTGGAATATTGCTGAGTGCGGCGTAAAACTAAACCCACCCACTCATTCACTGATTGAAAAACTATAATGGTATCAGTGACTCGTAATCGATTATGAAAACACGTTGGGCCGGAATTTCCAGTGAATTTTCCAGAAATTATAAATATATTACTCAATCGAGTTGGGCGTTATGTCTCTTTGAACAGTATTCCAACTGTATCACGACGTTCCAGCTTATGTCGAAAGAAAGCCCAAAGTGATACAGCTCTTGGACGTTTGAAACCCACGAACAGCATGGTGCTGAAAAACAGGATTCGAACACATTCTGGGACGTGACTTTCAATAACGAATTGCGGTGGCAGTTAATGTCCTTGTACATATGTAAATGTTACGAATAGAATCCTTCGGCAGAAAATATGCAACCATTTCCGATAACATTGGCATGTCTGATGAATGTGAGACGCCCAAAAAAGCAAATGCCGAAAATCGCTGATTCAGCAATATTACGTTTGCATTGCACCAGCTAAGTGTAGAACGGTTTGATGTTACATCTGGTTTTATATGTATATATTTCAACATTGCTTTTTCCTCCCCAATGCCTTACAATCCGCACCTGACAACGTATTAATTACTCGAGTTTAGAAAACACTTGACACGAAATGTGTACCCGAAACCTAAAAGATTTAAAATTATACTCTTGTAATTCCCACCACATAACGTGATGCAGGAACATGTGATATGGGCACGGTTCTCTGCTGTTTATCCATGCAAACCAGTTCTAATCTGAGGTGAACGACCGATACGCTTCTCTTAATGACGAAACTCAGCAGACTCTCGTTTTGGTGCGTCAAATTTCTACATATGTTGCCAGAAATACTACCTACATATCACAGTAGGGCAGTGCATGTTTTCCCATTCCACGAACACCGGGTGTCATCAATGATGTTTAGTGATTCTTACATAGTATTTTCTAATTGTAAATGGTTTGCCTCTAGCGTCAACGGTATTTTTTTTGAGAAAACACGAAATTTTATGCACCCAATTAGCCTTGAAGAGTCGTTGCGAAACAATAAAAAAGTTGTTAAAGATCCATAAAAGTTAATGTCTTCATATCACAAGCAGCGGTTTGCTAGAACCGTTCTTACACACTATGCAGGATATAATTTCAGTTGGGATACGGTTGCGTGAAAAAGCGGAATTTAAATACCGTGTATTATGACTTAAATAGGTGAGTAGAACCAGCAATAGAACCTTCAGCAATATTCCAGCGACATCACGGCGTAAATGATAAAACATACGCCTGGTGAACCAGAGGTTGATAGTATGAGAAACAACGAAGGCGATAGGGTTACCATGACATGCGTGTCAAACATTTGATACTTGATAGTCGGTTTGCATAAAAAGCATTGTCTACTTGAGGCCATTTCTCCTTGGAACCCCATCGTTTGAAATTAAACGAATTGAAATGAATTATTATGAACACTAAGTCTAAGTCTCGTAATCAGTCCTTGATGACTAGCTCACGAAACGGACCAATAGATTGGAACTCCATCGAAAAATCCAAAAACTACATAATGCTATTTTTAGATACCTATGCTCTATATTTCAATATTTGCTTCTTTATATATACCTACGCTCTCTATATAAATATTTGCTTCTTATATACTTACTTATGTTCTATATTTAAAAGTTTGCTTTTGATATACTTTGCAAGATGCGCGATAAGCATGCAGCTGAATCACCCCGGTGTGTTCACGCACTAGGTGATTGAACCTGTCAAACTACTTAGTACGTTGCAAGACTGAGACATCGTTAAATCTAATCAAATCAACACCTACACGTCATCACATTATCCATGTCTAGCCCTTGCATACCAGAACAGCCATAAACATATCTCACTGAATGGGCGGGTGTGATGCAGGCTCACCAACCATCATTACCTAGTTAAATAACTCCAGAACTACAGCCCCATCTAAAATCAGGTTCTACTCATGGCCTCTCGTGCGTGACATCTCATCGTTCTGGTCATTAATCAATTTAT